ATGTCTGGCGAAAGTGCAAGGGTTTGCCCAAGTAGCAGCTCGGCATACATCTCAATCGGGACCCCCGATGCAAAGGCGGATGAGGCTGCAACAGCCCTAGTCGAATGGCTTCGAGGGGCTGTAGGTAAATCAATCTTAGCCAGTTGATAGGATAAGGTTATAGTATGGACTATCCACTTGGAAAGTTTCTGTGGAGTGACTGGATCACCTTGATCTCTGGTGGAATATTAAATGAATAGTCTATTTGAACGTCAAATAGATTCAGTCCTCGATCTGTCAAAGGCTAAGCAGCGCCAAACGTCAAGTGAGTGCAAGGATCTTTCTAACGGAGTCGACGGTGACGGAAAAAAGGCAGGTAAGATAATATCCTGTCCCATATGAAAAGGTGTAGCCACCTTAGGAAGAAAAGATGGGTCGAGGTGCAAAACGACCTTTTCTCTGTGAAAATTCAGGTAAGGAGGGTCGATGCGGAGAGCGCAGAGCTCACTGGCCCTTCAGGCTGATGTGACCGCAACAAGAAACGCTGTCTTCCATGAAACCAGATGCAAATCGACTGTTGCCAATGGTTCGAAAGGAGCTCTCGTAAGCACTTGCAGAACAACAGAGAGACTCCAGGTAGGCATTACTGGTCTGACTGATGGATAAGATTATGAAGTCCCTTAAGAAACCTCTTAACAGTAGATTGAGAGAAGATGGGTGATCCGTCAACTAAGCCATGATGGTAGGCTATTGCTGAAGTATACACTTTAATTGAAGATGGTTTTAATCCGGAATGGTGCAGTTCTAATAGGAACTGAAGGATTTGATGTATCGATGATGTAAATGGAGGGAACGAACGAGACTTGGCAAAGTTAGAAAACTGTCTCCATTTAGTTGTGTAGGACTTCTGTGTGGACGGCTTCAGAGCAGAATCAAGGATGTGTTGGATATCAGGATGAAAGGCTGTCAGATTCGACGGGTCAATCCTTGAATCCGATGGTACAGAAGGAAGAAATGAAGAGGAAATGCCGAACTGACTGGATTCGACAGCAGGATTTGATTCACTTGAAGTTGTCGTCAATACTGGTGGCGCAATGATAGCTATCAGATTCGCCACGCTGTTAAGTTCAATGACAGTAAATCTGGGTGGCGAAGCGTATCGCCCTGTTGGGTTATGAGGTACGGAAGCAGTGGTAGATGGAGGTATTCCCTGCGAGAGATGTCGAGCAGTGTCGCAAACCAAGCTTGGCGTGGCCACCAAGGGGCAATTAGTATCCCCGAGGCTCGATCGTATACTATCTTCACTATGACTCTCATCATAAGAGGGATTGGAGGGAAGGCGTAAAAGATCAGGTTGTTCCAGGGGATCATGAAAGCATCCCCTAAGGATCTGTCCCCGATTCCTGCTCTCAAACAGTAAGCATCGCACACCTTGTTCTGTTGGGTGGCGAATAAGTCCACGTCGGGGAACCCCCAGTGATGAAAGAGACGGTCGTGTGTCTGAGGATCTAACTCCCATTCGTGAGAGGTCTGCTGAGGAGGTCTGCTTGCACATTGTCTGTACCAGCCAGATGGACTGCCATCAGAGTAATGTCCCTCAGAATGCACCAGTCCCAAATTTTCATCGAAAGTCTGGCCAAAGTTGGTGACTTTGTTCCCCCTTGTTCGTTCAGATAGAAGACGGTGGCTATGTTGTCCAAAGTTATCTGAACAACCCGATGTTGGAGAATGTCCTCGAAAGAGCATAGGGCCTTGAATACTGCCAGCAGCTCCAGGAAGTTGATATGATTCGTGGATTCTCGACGATTCCACGTGCCTTGGGTGTATAGACCGGAGCATATCGCTCCCCATCCCAGAAGAGATGCATTGGTACCGAGGGTTATCGAAGGACATTGCGGCCTGAAGGGAACCCCAACAGGCAGATTAGCTGGTACCGACCACCAGAGCAGAGAATGGAGCACCGAGGATGGGATTCGAATCAATTTCGACGGTGAGTCTCTCTGTGGGTAGAACATCTTGTTGAAGAGGAGTTGTAATGGACGAAGTTGAAGTCTGGCGTCTGGCACCACAGCAACCGAAGAAGCCATATGCCCCAGGATCCTCTGGATGGACTTTGCCGGGACCGTCCCGTCTCGTTGCATTCGATGGATGTGGCGAGCAAGAATCTGTTGTCTGTCCCAAGGAAGGAAGGCTTTCTCCAATGTCGAATCTAGGCGGGCTCCAATGAAGGTAAGCGTCTGTGTCGGAAGAAGAGATTTCTCGGTATTAATGTGTAGGCCCAGATCATCCAACAAGGCACAGGTTGTACGAATGGATGCGAGGAGTCCCTCCCTGGATTGGGACACTAGCAGCCAATCATCAAGATACGGATAAATTTGTATGCCTTGGAGGCATAGGAAGGCACAGACAGGGTCCATACATTTGGTGGACACTCTCGGAGCAGTGGCCAGTCCAGAAGGTAAAACTGTAAATTCATAGAAATGGGGTACAACAGCAAAACGAAGGAAACGCCTATAACTCGGGTGGATTGAAATGTGGAAATAGGCGTCCTTCAAGTCCAATGAGGTGAACCAATCCTCTTTCCTTAGCAGTGGCAAAATATTTTGAAGGGTGGTCATTCAAAACTTTTTCGTCATGATAAATCGATTCAGATTACGTAAGTCCAAAATCGGACATAGACCACCATCCCGCTTCGGGATCGTAAAATATGTGGAATAGAATCCGTGGAGTCTGTCAGGTGGGGTTACTTGACGAATCACTCCTTTATGAAGAAGTTGTTGTATTTCATCAAGTAGTACTGGCGAGCATGATGTAAACTGGATCGGACTCGAAGGAGGAACGATGTCGAATTCTATCCGATAGCCGTGCTGAATGATGGACAGTACCCACCGATCAGATGTAATGGACTCCCAAATGGGGAGTCAGCTTCACAGCCGATCCCCAGATGAGAGGGGGGTGGGTATGGAAAGGAGCAGAGGAAAGGTTCGCCAGTCCTGTCAACACTGTCTCCTGTCATCGAAATGGTGGTGGCACTGCAGATAGCGTTGCTGAGGCTGTGGACGGCGGCACTGCTGTTGCTGCTGCTGTCGGTGCTGGTGCTGCTGTCTAGGCTGGCAGGACTGCCTATAAGATGGACGAGTCCATGACCACTTACGCCTGGTCTGGGTCTGTATCTTTATCTTGCGTGCCGTCATGCGGGATTCACGTAGCTTCTTCAACTTGTGGTTGGTGCGTGAGTGGAAAGCCCGGACCCGTCGAAGGGCATTTCCTCTATCCGACGTTTAGTCTCCTCCAGGAAGTTACAATTTCTTAGCCAGGCGTGTCTCTGGAGTGAAACGGCACCGACCAAGGCCCTCGAGTCCGTGTCCGCATGGTGCCTGGCTGTGGACAACTGCTGGACAGCAACCAGCATCACCTCCTTGATGAGGACCTTGGCCAGGTCACCCTGGTGGTCTGGGAGGGTCAAGGCGACGTTGTGGAGGCGTTGCATTATAAAGTATTGATACCTTGCCAACATCGCCTCGTAATTTGAAATTCGCAGCTCCAGGCCTGAGGCAGGGTAGACTCGCCTGGCCAGGAAGTCGATCTTTCGGCCCTCCTTATCCCTTGGTGCAGTGTGTCCTCTCGCCTCTCTGCCCTGGGAGGACTCCACCACGACCGAGTTCGGCTTGGGGTGGCGGAGGAGGAAGGGGATATTCTCCTCCCGAACCCGGTACATGGATTCGTACGTCCGAGACGTGGGTCGAGGGTGAGAGGGCAAGTCCCAGGGCTGCGTCATCGCTTGCCGTAAGGTGGTGATCAGTGGCAGGATGACCGATGTGGACTGTTCATAAAACTTGTCCATAGTCGGTCCCAGACGCTGGACGGCATCGATGTCGAGGGACTGGACAAGCCAGGACATCAGCTCTGCGAAGGAGACATGCCATTCATCTGATGACACAGGGCCCTGGGAGGTCACAGTGACGTCAGGGGAGGTTGAATCGACCTCCGAATCGTCGGAGTCAGCACCGTAATACGGGGGAGCCGATGAGGAGAAGGAGCGGCTACTTCCATCCCGAGGAGGTATCGGGGATGCACACCTTGGGTACGAAGACTGTGGTCGGTCACGGGACGGTGGTGAAGACCGACCTCTAGGAGCGGGATAGTACCCAATGGAGAGCGGATCGCCCCAGGCGTGATAGTATGGATGACGCCATCCCTCCGAGCGCTGCTCCATGGAGTGACTCCTCCAGCTCCTAGGCAGGGACATCTCCACATCTGTCTCCATTGTGGCTGTGGGCACAGGTGTGGGTGACCTAGCCCACACCTGCGACTTAGCCCTAGGGGTGGAGTCCTGAATTTCCCCATCAGAAATTGAGCCTCTTTGCAGAGTTGGAAGAGGCCCAGCAGGAAGGTCAGCCACACGGTGAGGGGACCCTTGAGGGGTAACCCTCATAGTCTCCTGAAGCACTGGGTCGGGTGGAGTCGGTACAGTAAGTGCCGCCGGTACTGAGGGGGCCGTCGAATCCGAGTCCCAGTGTCGAGGACGCTCCGGATCCTTCGGTTTCTTGGAAGGTTGAGGAGACTTCTCCTTCCTGGCCTTCTTATGGCCTGCTGATTTGTCAGGTTCGGCATGCTTGCACTTTTCATACTTCTTCCTGGGAGCAGCAGGCGGAACCACCATAGCAGACGTGCGTTCGTCCGAAGGGCGTGAGGGTGGGGCCACTGAAGCGGAGCCAGGCTTCGGAACAGCAACAAGCGGGTCGGACTACATGAGAGCCCGATCCCATAGGAGCCTCCGGAGGCGATTCTCACGATTCTTCCTGGCCTGCTTAGAGAAGGCCAGGCAGTGAGAGCATTTATCGGTCCTATGCCCCTCCCCCAAGCAGAGGAGGCATAGGTCATGCGGGTTGGTTGGAGACATTTTTGATCTGCACTCCGTGCATTTGCGGAAAGCCGCTCGCTGCGCCATCGCAAGAAAGAGAAAAAAGGGAGATAGAGCAGAGGGTAAGTATATATTTTTGGTTTTTTTTTTTTAGATAGAAGATCGAAAGAAAGGTAGAATGATAGAGAAAAACTACAAGAACTATACAAAGTAGAGGAACTAACAAGAACTAGAAGAAATACTGGGGCTATAACAACTGGGAGAACAATCGAGAAGAAGAACAGGCTAGACGAGCAACGGTCAGAGCGAGAGTGAAAGCAGCACGAGGCACAACAAACAGCGGTCGCAAAGGCTGAACAAAATGGCGGACGCTCCACTTTTTATAGACTATGGGGAAGGGGGAGCAGAGCTTTTTCCCGCCAAAAACCATTAGCTTGCAATCTTCATAAATGTATGGCACTTAGAAGCACGAAAGTTATTTTGATTATTATCACAGATGGATTTCTTTAAAAGAATCAGTCAAAGTAATTATATCTATCAGCCACAACTTGTAAGCCGCCCCAAGGCTTCGGCGAATGGGGCGGCATAAAAATGTTTTAATAAATAAATAAATAAATAAATAAATAATAAACTTAGCTTGATCAACTGCAAAGGCAAAATTGAATCTTCCTACTGCAAAACAACATACATAATCAAAGAATCAGAAGGTGGAGAACAAACCACAGGAGACAGCTCTTATCATCATATCCTACCTGTGAGCTTCCACTGGCATCTGGATTACTGCTGTGGAATTATGGTCTACAGGAACCATGTGCTAAACCAACAACTCACCATTCTTATACATAATAAGGTAATAAAACGTTGCAACATAGTGTTTTGTTCCTTTCCACCTCAAGCTCCTGTCTCTAGTACCAGACATATACCCACAATATCGACATCTGCCACTTTGATTAAATTTTTGGTTAAAATTAAAGCCAAAAAAAGGGAAGAAGGATGAGGCCAGAAGGGTTCTTAAGCCATCATCTATCATGAGGTCACCAGACACAATCTGGTCCTAAATCAAATGAAATCCTTTTCTTGGCTGAACGAACTGTACTCTTTCAGTAAGATAAAATTTATTTTAACTACAGTTTTGAAGTTGAAGATAGAGAAATAGATTTCCTCTCTCTTTGTTTATTTAAACTGCTGTTGGAATTGACTAATTAAAGGGATTTTAAAATCCATAATACTCTAAACAGAGCAAACTGGTTCTGAATTATTAAGCAACATTTTAGATGCATTTGAATAACCTTATGTGACTCAGCTGCTACCTGATCCTAAGCTACAGCTTCAACAAATAAATGTAAAATACTGTAGAATTCTTAGCTTACTGAGGCCTCCAGATACAGTAAATAAAGAGCTTAAGTCTCTAGTACAAAGTCTATAAAAGACATACTTTGTGATAAATGGATTTCACCAGTGCACATTTAAAGAGGAAATGCAGAACGGGAAAGAAAATATAAGGTTTAAATTTGATTTCAAAAGATCCTTGCAGGTGCAGACAGTTAAGACTTTTCAGTGTTCTTGGGAGATATTAAGGGGCTTCACCCTGTGTTTCAAATACTATACAAAATACAGTGCCATAGAAATTCTGAGTGATCATCAGAATTGTCTTCTTTGGCCATGTGATCTTGGCAATAAAGGGTATCACTAGAAAAAATCCAAAATAAACAGGCAATACTCCTATAAGTGACCTCAGATATTCCAGTAGGTCATAATAATTACCTTACTTTTTCTTTGGATTTTTCCCATAATGGATTGACACAGGATGGATACAGGATAGGCTTTCCATATAAAGAAGGGCTGTGTTCACAGAGGGTCTTTTTACACAATTTTGGGGTATTCCATTTCCTGCATACACCATAGTTCACCCATCCTTGAACTCTGCTGCATTTTCATAGAACTGGACGGGTGACGGAAGTCCCACCCATGCAATTGATCCAGTGTAATTTTGGGTCCAAACTCTGGTCTGCTGTTGAGACTTCTTTCAGTGTGTAAGTTCAATTACATTTTTTTAATTTCATCTATTCCTCTTTCAGATTCAATTGGATATAGCAATATTCACTTGACCTTTTACTTTATTTCTTGTAGTTCAGGTACTTATAGTACCTTGCAAAAGTATTAACTCCCTTTGACTTTTCCATATTTTATGGTGTTCATACCTTCAATTGAAATAGATTTAATTGGCGTTGTTATACATTAATGTGCATTGATACACGACATTGTAAAGGTGCAAAATATTTTTTATTGTGGTATAACAGTTAAATAAGCAAAAACAATCTGGCATTTGTTGGTTGCATAAGCATTCACACACCCTTAATTTGCTGTGACATGTGAAGAAAGCCATTGCTAAACAAACCCAATATCACAGTACTATTGGAATTTGCTAAATGGAGTATGAGAGACACAGTACATCTGGAAATTGGTTCTCTGGTCTGATAGGCCAAAATTGAACTTTTTTGCCTTGATGGAAAATGCTATTTGTGATGGAAAGTCAGTAGTGATTAATGTCTATGGTGAAGAATGGCAGTGGCAGCATCATGTGGTGGGAGATTCTCCTTGGCAAGAGGTGGGAACTAGTCGGGATTAAGGACAAGAGAGATGAAGCCAATTATAGGAAACACAGTAGAGGAAAACCTGATCTAGTCTGCAAGGGATCTGGAACCAGTGTGGAGGTTCACCTTCCAGCAGGACAATGATCCTGAACACACAGACACTTTAGCAGTCTAAAAACAGGATCCTGAATGCCTCAGATTGGTCCAGTCAAAACCTAGACCTCTATCCATGTTGAATGTTGTTGTTCAGCAACAGTCCCAATCCAAATGACAGTACTGGAACCATTTTTTCCATGAAGAATGTCAAACACTGCAGTATCCAGATGTGCAAAGCTAACCCCCCCCCCCCCAAGAAGCCTCATAGCTATAACTGCCGTCCAATGTACTTCTATCAAGTATTAACCTGGTGGGGGGTGGGTAAATACTTAGGCAACCAGAAGTGACAGTTTGGTTTTGTTGACTGTAGTTTCATGCCACAATACAAATATTTTGAACCTTCACACTGTTGAATATCAAGCAGTAACAAAGTCAATTAAATCCATTTCAGTTTGAGGCAGTAGCACAACAAACATACCACATTTTGCAAATGTGGAAAAGTCAGAAGAGGGTGGATACTTCTGCAATCTGTATATAGTCAGGGTGGGTGCTCAATCTGTTCTGGATGGGATTGCAATCCCCTTAAAGGAGCAGATTTGTAGTCCAGAGGTGGTCCTGGATCCAGCTTGTGATCTACCTGGGGCTCAGCTGTCCTCAGTGGCACAGAGTGGCTTCTACCGCATTCAGCTGGTGACCTAGCTATGCCACCAAGACATAGATTATCTGGACAAGGATAATATAATTTCATTAATCTATGATTTGGTGAATTCCAAGTGAGAATACTGATACACACTGTGTGGAACTGCCCTTGAAGACTGGAAGCTGCAGCTTGTGCAAAAAGTCTAATAACACCAACTCAGGCCTGCTTGCATTGGCCACTTAATTCAAGGTGGTTTTAATTTATAAAGCCCTATACAGCTTGGGACCTCAATAACTGATGGAATACCTCTCCCAACCTCTATATACCTGGACCCTATTATCAACATCTTCTCCAATTACCACCTTCAAGGGAGACCCAGGAAGAGGCAATGAGAAGGGCCTTTTCAGTCATGGGCCCCCAATTATGGATTTCCCTACTGAGGTCCACCTGGCACCAGGTTAAAACTACCCTCTATTTCCAGGAATTTAATGGTATTTAATTGGCATATGATAGGTTCTGTCTGGTATTTTAAATTTGGTCTAGGTTTTAATGAAAATGTTTTAAATGTTAAACTGTACTTTACTGTTACAGATTTTTAGCTGTTTTAATTTATGTACTAGAATTTTATACTGTACTTAATTGCATTTGTATTTTTAATTTATCTTTTGTATTTCATTATTTGTTGTGAATTTCTATATCAGTACTGAATGATAAAGAAATGAATTAAGCATATAAATATATAAAATTACATATATTCAATATTATCAAAATTAATGTTAATACCATGTAGGCCTCTACCTTTTGCTATATGAAAATTGGCAAACATGTTTTTATTTATTTTCATATTTTAGTAAAACTAGGAAACCACCAGTTTCCCCTTGCAATTTCACTGGAAGGACAGCACAGTGAATAGCATAGCCTTAATAGCTAGTCATTGCATGTTTTTAAGTGCCCTGGAATGTCACTGCTGTTTTGAGAACTACAAGTTATCTCTAGGAAAGGTTAATCTTACTATTTACTCTACTGCAGAAGTTTGTATTTACAATAGGGTTATGATACTGACTTTGTCAGCCAAGGATGTCTGTGAAAGTGATTGGAATGTACAAAGAGAAATTAATGAATTCATATTTACTGGAGAAGTGAACATATTTCAATATTTTATTGGGATACCTGGCCTGGTATCTTTACTCTTATATTCTGCTACAGACAACCATTTCAGCAAAGTAGTACATTGTACTCCAAACAACCTTAGAAATTTCAATAACTTGAGATAGGATTTCTATAACAAGGGATCAATGTTGTATCACATTTCTGATTTGCTGAATATTTAAGAGACTTCATTGGGATTTGTGGGTTCCTTGGTACCCATACTCCAAGGTCAAAAGTTCAACAGAACAGACAACATTTAACAAGTACAACATAGCTCGCTTCAAACCATGATGGAGAATGAAGAACAAAATTGACAGTGGTAGATCTTTCCCTTTCTGGCTGGAGTGGATCATGAACTTGGAAAAGAGCCTTCCTTTTTCAGTGATATGTGGGCAGAAGCAAGAAGGAGGCTTTTTCAATTACAGCAAGCAGTGTGACCACCAGCATAGCATGGTCATTCAGGTGACCTGATCGAGCTAAGGAGATCTGCAAGTGTGAGCTGGCTAAACTCAGATGTGAAGTCTTTCTACTTGATTACACAAACACACACACAATTATAGTTACAGACCATCCAACAGCTAAAATGTTCCTGGCAGTTCACAATGTAATAATGTATAATAAAACATGTTAATATAAAAAATCAGTGCTAATACTACCAGAGCCCAATAAAAATTAATATGGAAAAGCCCCATCATATGCCACCGGATACTTGGAAAAGAGAGTGATGTGAGGCCCTGTAAAGGATTTGATTGCTTTCAGAGATGCTGCTACGGTGCTACATATGACTGGCCATGTGACACAGTGATGCCATCATGCTGGGTACATTGTCCCTGAAGGACTGAGTTACACATTCACCAGGTAAATACTTAAAAATATATATTATTATGCTGAAAATGTTGCCAGGAGGGACAGTGAACAGGGTTGCCCAGGTGGAGAAGGTACACTCTGTGCAGAGTTCCCCCATTCCAGAAACTCTTTTTTTCTACACAAAAGATCATTAAACACAGCTTTCTTCCTTCCAACAGCACTCTGCTAGTTGTTCCTGCAGCTGCAGGTAGACCAGCATATCACACTTTTATCATGTAAGCTAAAGCCACTGACATACTATGTGACAAAATTAAGAGAGGTAACCTAGGCAGATTATCTTCTTTATAGTCAGGATGGCATTTGATCATAACATACTTGTGGTAAGCTCCATTTGACCTTCAGAATGAGTTTATAGTCTATCAAGACATTAGAGAACCAGTATAAAAATAGGAGAGCAACAAAGCCTTGGTGTGGTTCTGAAGAAAAAGCCATATAGCTTTATGACATTGTGGCAGCATTTTCATTTCAATGATACTAAAATTGTTCCTGTAGGACAAGGCCTTCCAACTTTTCTGGACACGTGCCATTTTGAGAAATTGCTGTGAGCCCCATGGAGGATATGCCTTATTACTTTGTAGCTTCCATAGAGGCCTAGCTAGTCAAGAGTTGGGGGAAGAGAAATATCGAGGCTAGAAGCTAGGAGAGGGAAATGAAAGGAGTTGCATACGGTTCCACCCAACCTACATTCATCCGCACAGACCATTTCCCCTTTTTCATTTTCCTTTTCATTCCTAGTCTCTGCCTATTTCTTTCCCCCAGTCTTTCCCTATTTCTTTCTCACTATTTATCCCCCATGTCCATAGCTTTTTTCTTTTTTCCCTTCTTAGCCCCTAGTCTCATTCCTTCTTTCCCACCTACCTCTTTACCTTCTATTTCTCTCTCTCCTAGCCTCTAGCCTCACCATTTCCTCTTCCATCCTCCTCTCTGCCTTGCTTTCCCTTATCCTCTGATTAGCAGCAAGTTTAGGAACAAAAAGAAGAACTGCACATCCTAAAGTTTTTCAATGTTTTTCCCCATTTAAAGGCAGTCATACACCAAGGTGATGAACTGCTCTTCATTACCGTATTTATTTCTGTGTGCAACTCAGTTTGCAAAGGCATTCTTCCAAGACAAAAGTGGTAGGTGCCCGCAGCTCACTAGTTCATCCTGGAATGTGCTCAGCCTCCCAGAAAGAACAAAAAGGCAGACTGGAAGAGGTAAGCCATGTCCTGGGCATCTAGACAGCATTGTGGAAAGCATGGGGGTATTTTGCTTGTGCTGTGTGTGGGGGTTTTGCCCCGTGTGTGTGACTTGGTTTGTTTTGGCACAGTATGTTTTCTTCTGTGGGTTTGTTTTGTCTGGGTTGTGCACATGGCTCTGTGGTGCATCTAGTTCCCCGAGTATCACTAGTTTCTGTTCTGTGAAATGAGTACTTTGGGGAAAATATGTGATTTAGCATTTGGTCTTGTTTACCTGTTTCTGTACACCATTAGATTGTCTTCTGTGAAGAGACTGTTTTTGTATTCTGGAGCTCACCCTCATTTTTTCCCTTGCACTTTGGTTCGTGGGTAAGTTATCAGTTTGTATTCTTGGAAACGAGTATTTTGTGCTATGTCCACCATGGCAGTCATTTTATGACTAGGAAAACTCCCACAGCAGCCATTTTGTGAGAGTGTCCACAACACTCTCATAACATTCCAAAAAGATTGAAGACTCTTTATCTTACAATAGAATATTGTTTCTTAAAAATAAAGCAATTGAAAGATTCTAGAGGCATTTTACTATATAAATGACTTTTTTTAATGTACTAAGAACTTATAACATTATTCAAAACACACATAAAATATCAGAAAAGAATTTTAAAATATTTCATAGAGCCATAGAACAGTAGGGGCCAAGAAGGTATTGGGTCCATCCCTGCTCAATGCAGGACTCCAAATTAAACCACCCCCTCAGATGGTTGTTCAGCTGCACAATTTAAAATTAAGAACATCATATGAAATGCAAAGTATTTATTTCAGCTTGTTTCAAGAAAGTTAGAATAACTATAATATGGCAACCATTTCTACATGACTATTTTCCCTTTAGTTCCACTAAAAATGAGATTACATGCTTGTATGGGATAAACCTAATTAGCGGATAATGTGATTCTCTCATGGACATTTTATACTGTCTACAAGAGTCGATTCATCTGTATCACACATTTTTCTTTGTTGTTTTGAAAGGGGAATGTAAATTAAATACAAAAAACAAACATGCTTCTTTTTGTAAGACTTCTTTCTCATGTTAGTCTAGAAATTCTCCAGTTACAGAAAACAGGAATTGATGAAAAAAACAAAGATTGACATAATTGTTTTGGTATATTATGAAAAACACTTTTCAATGAACATACAATGAATCTAGGTGAAATGCAAACTTAACAAAAAGTTTGGATCTGGAGTGAATAATATACATTAAGATGTCTCTTGGAGAATTGCTAGCCATGACTCCCAGTCCAAAACACTTCCATAGACATTAAGCTAAAGTTCAGAACTTCAGACCTAATACAGTTGAATGTTTGCTTGTGATATCAAAACATGGCTTTCTTCGTGTTGGCCATTCACCCTTCTGGGAAAGATACACATGAATTTTGGAAAAGTCATCAACACTTTTACATCCTGGTCTGCTTTTCTGTTATTTTATTGCATTGTGTTTTAATATTGGTTTTATGACTTTCTGTTTATTTAATTTTACGTAATGATGTTGTGTGTTTTTTTAATTGTTTTAGGGTGCATCCTATGCCTATTTAGAGAAAGGAAAAGGCCTACAATCTCATGCAAGCTAGAGCATTGGGAATGGCAGGCCTTTAATTCTACCTAAACATACACAGAACTGTTTGTTTAGAAACTTATAATATTATTATACAGTTGCTTTATCAATTGTGAGCTACCTAAAAGGAGGAATAAAAATATATGGGTTTGGTGTGGATTTCACATCAGGTCTCTGAGCCAACAGAAAGGAGAGATTATTTTTGCTGCTTCCTGCAACCTGTACATTTATACCCACACTCTTCCTCAGAAAAGGCTCTCCCATTTCTGAGGAACAGTTTTTAGGTGTTGTACAGGACTGTAGGGGAAATGGCAAAATCAGCTTTCATTAGCAGGACACACACTGTATCTACAGCAAAACTAGATCAGCCTTGGAGCTGGCACTGTTAATTGGGAACAAAGGAAGCCCAATAAGTGAATCTAAGTGGGGGTGGAGGTAGAGAACATAAAAAACTAGCTGCAGGATTTCTTGTTAATCTATTTATTTGTATTTGTTTTATGATTTATACTGCACTGAAATGTCATATTGAGTAGTGGCATCACAATGTTTTAAATAAATAAATACTACTGCCTGCCCTAAGCTTTCAAGATTAAGTGAATGATTAACTGATCTATACAAATAAATATACAGTAATGCTACAAGATTGATTGTGAATTAGTTGCTTAAAGCTGTTCTACAGCAGCCAGGTGTTTCATCCTATTTAAGAAATGGTTAACATTTACAATTTCTTAATCACATAGCATCTTATGCAATTAGACCTGGAGTATCCTCAGCTCCCCATGAAAGCCTTTTGAAGTCAAAAGCTCCATTATCTTGCAGAAACTGCTCAAAGTGTTGCAGGATGAAGCCCTTAACTTTGTAATTAAAATCATCTACCTGATGCTGCACTGCAGTGGCTGATCACCATCATCCAGACTGGGAAAAGGGTATTCCATACTTAATTACACAGCTGTTCCGTAGGATTACAGATCCATTTTTTTAAAGAGCACACCAGCATCTTAAGAAATCTTATTTATTCAGTAATAGGAGAGTATTCTTCTCTGAGAAATATTCTGAGTACTACAGAAGAAATTTGAAGGGAAAATGATCTATATATCTTGCTGGAGGAAAGTAGCATTACACTTTCAGCTTTTGACTAAGATCAGAGTGAAATGATAGGGAACCCAGAAGGAAAAGTATGGGGCTATATCTTCTTTCATTTGTTTCGATTGCAGGCTGGAGAGAATTACTGCAGGACATATAACATGGAAGTAATTTGTAGATAAATGTAACCTTATGTTTCTAAGAAATGTATACTGGGATGCTCACAATTATAGTACTAGGGGTGGTGCTAGGTACCTAAAAGATAAGGCTAAGGTCTAGAAAAGAAAAAATGTACAATTTTGCATATGCTATATGCATAATTATAAATAATTAATATAATTTAAATTTTATAGAATGTAAGCTACTTAACCTTTTGCTTGCTTTCAGTATGGAACTGTGCAACATCCCAATTAGGGTTTGTTTAAAACTTACCTTCACATACCCACACATTTCCTTGATCTTTCAGGCTCAAATTCAGATAGAAAGGATGGAGTGCCTGGGACCAGACAAGAGCTTCAGGGCTTCTTAAACATTTACTGATTGCAAACTGAACATGACACACTGGAGCATGTGAGAATATACTGCAGAGAATAATAAACTATGGCTCTAAGTTTTCAAATTTAACATAATTACTAGGGAGTAACCCCCATTAAATTTAGTGGACATTACTTCTGAGTAAATCATTATTCAGTCTTCTATCCACTCCACTTCACTATCAAGCACTGAACAAAAACCTCAACGCTAGAGGGATTTTTTGTTTTTGGTTGCTCTTGGTGTCCAGACCAGGTGAGGAAGCAGAGACAATAGCTGCCAAAGGGGACTACTCATTTTATTTTAAATACCTTATTTTTATAGAGCCTTTGATTCCAGAACTCATTTTTTACTTTTCCTGAGCTCTAATTTCTTGAAATCCTAAACTCTACATCAGATATTTCAATATTAAGTTCTCGCAACTGCTAGAATCATATACCACTTCAAGTACCCAAATGCATAATTGGATGTCTTTCTTAGAACCAGCAACAATTCCCAATAAAAGTATTGCCCAGTTGTAGACGTTGGAGTGTTATAACTCATAAACCAGCATGCTTGATTTAATGTCTGATTTCTTGTTTTTTAAATTATCAAAGTTATCAGTCCTCAGATTTATATCTAAAGTCAGATATTGGAACAATATTCAGGGTGGATAAGGCACTCTGCAGTTCTGAGAACATTTATAAGAACTCCTATCCTACATACACATTCATCATTCAGGAACAGATTTCACTGAATTTACTTCTAAGCAAACATGTTTAGTGAATTTGATGCAATTCTGAACATGTTTTGCCATCCACAGATCTCCTTGAATGCCCAGTTGTACAAGTCTCTACACTGATGCCTGAGGGTTGGTTCAAATACAGTTTTCTACCTGAGACAGAGGAACAGATAGTGCTTCCATCCACAGGACCCATCCTGGTGCACAGTAGTACTCAAAGTCAATCAAGTTGTTTTGTTCCCTGAGGCAATAAATCTTAGAAATACCTCTCCTCTTCTCCAGCAATGGAAATATAAAATCAATTAATAAATTAAATAATGAATAATTTCCTTTTTCATGAAATCCTGAATTACCTATCTGCAGCAGATGCCTCAGGGTCTAAAGTAAGTGTGTGTGTAGAATATGGACACTACTTTTTGTAAAAAAAGAAAATGGATGCAGAGAAGAGGAGGCCCCATTCGGGGTGGGGGGCATCAGGTAGAAAGATTCAAAAGAGGCAGCAGCAGGGAAGCACATATGAGCAAAAAGCCAGCTAGTCCAAGAGGGTGTTCTTACATTTGTATTTAAGCAAGTGCCTTTTTCTCCAATTTCATGAAAAACATCTTTCAAAATAACTTTCTGTACAGTAGTCTATGAAAGCTTATTGTGCCACAGTACATTTATGAGTTTTAAGGAGCCACAAGGCATTGTGACTCTTGAACACAATATTTATTTATTTTATTTATTAGAACATTTCTATGCCGCCCCTTGCCGAAGCCTCGGGGCGGCTTACAACACAATAAAATACAAAAATAACAATATAAAACTAAAATTAACAATATAAAATAAATATAAAATATAAAAGAAGTTGCCCTGGCCAGATAAATAAGCAAATATTGTTAACAATTAAAATGACGTTTAAATAAAAAGGTCTTCACCTGGCGCCGAAAAACAAATAACGATGGTGCCAGGCGGCCCTCTCTAGGGAGCACATTCCATAGATTGGGTGCCACCGCAGAGAAAGCCCTCCTCCGAGTACCTACCCTCCTAATTTCTTTCACGGAGGGTTCCTGGAGAAGGGCCTCTCCCGCAGATCTCAAGGGGCGGCCGGGCATATATGGATGTAAGTGCTCCTTCAGGTAACCAGGACCCAAGCCGTTCAGGGCTTTATAGGTCATAACCAACATCTTGAATTGGGCCCGGACTTCAATGGGAAGCCAGTGAAGCTGACGGAGGACTGGAGTCATGTGAACATAACGCCCCGTCCCCGTCAGCAACCTGGCAGCTCTATTTTGAACCAACTGAAGTATCCGGACCGTCTTCAAGGGAAGCCCCACGTGAAGCGTGTTACAGAAGTCAAGGCGGGAAGTCACCAGCGCGTGTGTCACCGTCGCCAGGCAGTCGTACTCCAGGTAGGGGCACAGCTGATTAATCAGCCAAAGCTGAAGGAAAGCGCTCCTCGCCACCGCTGTCACCTGAGCTTCCAATGAAAGCTCCGGGTCGAGGAGCACTCCTAAGCTGCGGACCTTGTCCCTAAGAGGGAGTGCAACCCCATTCAGGACCAGGTCAAATCCACCCTCTCCGAAGCCCGATCCGCCAACCAACAGGACCTCCGTCTTGTCTGGATTGAGCTTCAGTTTATTGGCTCTCATCCAGCCCAATAGAGCAAGATGCCCCTATACTACTCTCATATCTATTCACTCTTCTCTACCTTACTGCAAAGTCAGAAGTCTTCGAATTACACAACTTTTTTGGCAGATTTTTGGTTGTCAAGATTGTAAATGAATAGCTAGGTGTTAGAGGATCAATTTGGGATAGAAATGGCTTCTGAGGCAAAGGTGTACTGGGCCTTGATAATAATATCACTTTGCCTGCAAAAGGAAGAAGCACAGAAACCTGGCTCATAACTGTAGTCAGTTTCAGAAACTGCACAGTTTCTAAGGCGCATTTCCAGACAATAGTCCTAAGGAGATCAACTTGATGCAATGTGCCCGTTTTGTGAATACTTGACAATGCGGACAAGTCTCCACTGTCTTTCTCCTAGACAAATTAGGCACAAGAAGTGGTCATAAGTTCTAGGAGTTTATTCACTTTTTGGGAAGCTGCCTTTAAAACCATACTGCTTACAGGAATGTGACTGAAAGACAGACAAATTATAGAAAATTCTAAACTTTAGAAAATAGTATGATTAAAATCTCAGCAGTTGGAGAAAAATGCAGTCCATAAGGATGAGTGAAACTTCCCAAAGACAACTACAATGGTGGTCAAAGAAGAACTGAGAGGGAAGGTGGGAACCATCTAAGCACATGTACACTAAGGGATGGTGGGGAGGGTTCCTGCCAAAAAAACTAGGCTATGGAAGTTCCCAAAGTGAGGTTCCCCACAGATAGCAGAGCTGCTATGTGTCATGCACATGAAGAAGAACTCCGTTCTAGTTTCCCTCAAGGTAAGAAGCCTGGGACAGCTTAGAGCATGGGTCCTCAAACTACGGCCCGTGGGACGGATCCGGCCTGCCATGGCCATCCATCCGACCCGCACCGGCATTCGCCACCTGCACACGCGCTTGCTTCGTGGGCAGGGAGGTGGTGGGTCGCTTGCTCGGAGATGGTCTCTGAGTGTGCAAGCCACTGTTGCCTGCCTCCTATACATGCACACTCACCACTGCCTCGCAGTGCGGGTGGGGAGGTGGTGGCTCACTCACTCGGAGATGGTTTTGGACTCGCTGGGAGATCTCCGAGTGAGCGTAATCCTCAGCGACACAGAGTTTCCACAAGACTTTAAATCATAGTGGCACAGAGGATGAACAAGCACATTGCATGCACCAGGCTGTGAGTTCAAACAGACTATCCAGCTAGGTCACACATCCATTAGAGAAGAAAGGTTACTGTCTATAGTGGAAGAGGAACATGCACATGTAGCTTTTATAAAAGCAAAGATGAAGCCTAAGGTAATTTTGTTTGGTTCAGGCTACCAACGACAACAACAACAAGTGATTTGCTTTAAGATGCTTATTGGCAATGCCAAACTGTACTCCATCTCAAAAAGCCAGATAAGGAAACAGCCTTTAGCAGTACTGCTATAAAATGATAATTTTAATAGGAAGATAAAATGATAGATAGATAGATAGATAGATAGATAGTATAAAATACCAGAGGGTAAGCAAAGTGGAGGTCAAAGTTGAAACAAAGGTATCATGTTTTGGATTGACCTTTTTTTTGGCTTTATCACTGAAAACCTGAATTGTATCCTTCAAACCTTAAAACAGATACCAAAGCCTCCTGAGGTTGCTTGTTGGTTAGATGTGGATGACTAATGTAAGTCACATCATCATCCTTTTACTATAAATTACAATTGCAATGCAATATAGCTTTATTCCTATAAGAAGGGAGCATTCACATGACCAGAGTTGATGGCTTAGTACTAGAACAAATGTCATTAACCTATGCTGCACTCTGTAATGAATACATTTCGGAATGTATGATGAATCTGTTTTGAGGGTGGGAATCTTTTGGCTGCTCAGACTGTGTGGCCTGCTTTATCAAGGCTGGTGAGCACATTGAGTGTTTGTGTGGGTGTCCACAAGGAAGCAAATGCTGTATTCCTCTTCCACACATGTGACTTGTGGCATTTGTGCAGCTTGTGATGGGGAAAAAAAGATTGAGAGTTGCACAGCTGGAATTTCACGATTGTTTGCACACTTTCTCTCAGCTCAGTTTACTTCCTAAGTGAGGGCCAAGCATAAGTCCAATGAATAGAAGTGGGCTGGATTCCAGCGAGGATCATCACTAACCCAAGTACATATTGTCACACATGATCTCTGCTGCTGCAGAAGACACGGCTGGAACAGCAGCATGTTAAGGGAAACTGCAACAACTTTCTGATTTTGGAAACGTTTGCAAGATCATGGAGGGAAAACAAACCACAGTGACATAAGCCACTGGCTGCACATGTCAGTCATAAGCCACCTAATTAACATTATTACTCTCACCAGCCACAGGCTTTTGTGGTATCTGAACCCAGCAAAGTTGGGTGGCCGGGGTAGTTTACAAACTATCCTGAAACCCATAGCTTGTTCTGTAGACTATCCTGGCACACACCGTTATGGGACTGTGATGTCACAACAACCCATACCCAACCAGAATAATTATACTAAATAGACAGATCATAACTGGCATACATCATCTTGATCATAAGAACCCAGTCTTCATCTCAAAAGTTCTCCTTTTCTGTTATTTAAGCACACAGCCACCTGTGTCAAGGATGCTTTAATTGTAACCTGCATAGCAGACATTTTCAATTTTACAATTCTATAATTAACTAGATTCTCACAAAGACACACAATTATTGGTATTTTTCACAATGATCCAAACACTAAGTGAATAAAGCATGACTTATTAAATGAATGGAAGAATATCAAAGAATGTTTGTTTACTTACATCTCTCCTGGGGAAAGTCCCTAGTAGCTTGAATTCTTCCCAAGGATATCCCTTGGAAGCTACAAAATCAAAGACGACCTGGAGCTTGCTATTGGCCAGGAAACGTCGCTCAAAGAATTCTCCACTGGGTGTTCGGATACGTAGTTTACTAAGTGATTCAGTGCTCTCCTCTTTTGGCTCTGGAGGCAAAGATTGCTCTAGAGATAGCCTAATAGCCTAAGGAAATATGAAAACAACATTTTGTTTCAACTTCAGAGATGTTTAGAAGGAGTAGCTATATTATTATTTTTATTATTATTATTTTCGTTCTATAAATTTGGTACTTGTTCATTGTACTGAGCAGGGTACATATTGATTAAATTTGACTTAGTGTCCCATCCATTTATTTAACTTAATATTTATATACTGCCCTATTCCCATAGGCTCGATCCACCATAAAGGATGCTATAGGATTGCTAGTTTAGCAAGGAGCACTGCCTGGGCAACAGATGTCTCTACAGTTTCTAGCTAGTGACTCTAGGTTCTTACAGTGCTGCTGTCAAAAACCTAGAACTGACACAGCACTTATTATGACAGGACAATGCTGGAGTTGCTTCTCTTTGCCTGCACTGCCTAAGCTTGCTATGATGAACAAATGGGACTGTTGAGATGATCTTCTCGCTCTTTTATTTGTAATTTTTCAGTATGCAAAAGTGCTTTTCCCCAGAAAAAAGTTCATCTCAAAGTGTCCCTGCTGTCCCTGCTTCTGAAGTTCATTTCCACACAACAGTTCTATGATTTATATCTCAATAACACATCCATCTTTATTCATTTCTTAATAACAGCTTGGAAAACAACTAATTAAAATAAATCCTCCTCTTATAACACATTATTAAACCTATAGTTTACTGCATAGTGATGATAGGTAATTTAATTGTTGGACAGAAAGGGCTTAGAAAACTCTGATTGAGGGAATAATTGTCAAATGCCAAATTGCTTTTTAAATCGTAAAAATCAAAACCATTAAATATTTAGACAAATAAATTAATTTATTAAAATCCTGTAACCTTCTCCCAGGCAAAATTCTTGAAAAGAGAACATAAGAAAGGCATGGATCCTTTTCAAATAAATTTGCAATAAAACAATTTAAGCCAAGTTTCCTGGCTATCCAGATTTTGTGTACATCATCAGTGTAATGTCTTGTCAATGAAACTATGTGAAGAGCATTTTGTGGAAATATATTTCACTAAATGTGTTTTGATAACTTTTGAACATATAAACTTATTTCATGATATCCCACCAATTTTACTGATCTTTCAGCATGTTGAAGTTTCTTCATTTAGATCGAGACAATGTTAGAAAAGATCAGTTGAAATCACTGGGAATTTGTGTCACTAACTTAAGTCACATTGATTTTAATGACTATGTTCTAAATATGTCGAAGCCTGGATTCAACTCATGGCATTTAGAACTAGTATAGATACAAAGTTCTAATTTCCTTTTTAAGCGACTGAAGAGTTATAGTCTTAAAAAGAAAATGAAGACCAACAGGTCAAAGCATGAATTCAAGCAAAGGGACCAACTTTTTCTGCAGTCATAAACTCACAAACTCATAAACTCGTAGAAATATCCAGAGCAGATGTAAACCCCCCACTGCATGCAAAGGGAACCCCCACTGCATGAGAGCCAGTGTGGTGTAGTGGCTAAGAGCATGGAACTGGGACTCAGGCGAACTGGGTTCTAGTCCCCGCTCGGCCATGGAGCCAACTGGGTGACTTTGGGCCAGTCACAGACTCTCAGCCCAACCTACCTCACAGGGTTGTTGTTGTTGTGGGGATAAGATGGACAAGGAGAATGATGTAGGCCTTGAGCCCTTTGCAGGAAAAAGGCAGGATATAAATTGGGGTGGGGGGCGGAAGCGCTAGCTTGTGGATTTTCCCAATGGACAACACACACCATCAGGTTCATGGCCTGATTTCAAGATTCAAGACTTCTCAGTAAGTCATCTACTGACATACATTTTATTTTTAGAAATATATTTCAAGAAAGTAAGTACATGTATTATTCTTTATATACACATATATGTATATTTTATTGGGATTTTACAGTCTAGGAGATTTTAAATATTTTTAAATTGGTGTGCTTTTAGTTTTTTTTCCATTTTCTCTACTGAAGCACCTGCTTTCTATCTTTGTGTTTTGACATTTCCTATTGCTGTACAACAGATGCAATATTATTTACTGAACCTAAGCAATTATATCAGAGAAAAACAAACAACAGTAGCTCATTAGAGCTGTTTTCATTGTGCAAAGAATACTTCCTCTCTAAAGTAACCAGTCTCAAATGCTTCAGAATAAAATGGCTGTTTACAATAGATATTCTACACTAGTGGACTAATTTAAAGAACATAATAGGAAGAAAGAATCTGCATTTTGTTAATTAAAAAAGACATATTCAGTATAAGAACAGATGAATGACTGGATTTCAAATAAAGAGGCAAAACTGAAAGTCCATCATATAAGCAAACACTGTTGGAGGACCATAGGTAATCCATATACTTGAACATGGGGAGTGTTAATAAACAGTAGAGTTAGCAAAGCATTTGTTTTGCTATACAAATATATCTTATGTTCTTTTCTTTATAGCAATTTGCATTAAAATGAGGAGATGCAGCTACAGGTTGAAATCAGAACTGGTTCTGCAACTTTCTGGAAGAAAACAGTTTCCGAAAGACCATTGTGTCCAAAAGGCAGGATAAGTGGCACAATATCACAGGAGAGAATACTACACCTATTTAGACAATATTTATTCAAGAAAGAGGAAGAACTATTGTGCATGTTATTTATTTATTTTAAAAGACTGATTAAGTGCACAATCCTTTATAAACATAAGTTCTAATGAACTTAATAGGATAATCTTAGCCTGGCACTATTACTAAAATGACCTAGTAATAGTGGATCTGGCAAATTTCCCTAGGGAGAGCGTTCCAAAGTCAGGTTACCATCAGAGAAAATATCTTCCTCCTGATAAGCAAAATTGAAATAAAAATTGAAGATAGATGGAAATGTGGACAATGCAACCCATCCTCAGAATAGTACTTCTCAGATTTTGTGAGTGTTTAATGTAGTCTCTTGTTCTAAAAACAGTAAAGAAAAGTCATACTGTATATATTTTCTCACTGTTCATAAATTTCTAAAAAGTTGTGTACCAGCAGAACAATTTATATAATCTAATGTTCAAATCTATGGGAAAGAAAGAATGAACACATAATTAAATAAGCAGAGCAATATTCTTTTAAAATATGTGAAACAAAATGTTTGAAGGACAGAAAGTACACTAGATAAGTACAAATCCGATAGTTGCAAAATCTTCTGTGTAACCCTAGACCTCAAGGGAACTCTCTGTTCCCTTAATATTACGTGATGCCATTTCCACTTGCATAAACCTGAGAAACCAGATTCTGATCACAGCAGCAGCAAGTGGCAACCTCCCTGTTCCCTTCTTGGGTTATTAGTGTGGCCTTAGTTTTTTTAGTTCTTTGGGATAAATCCCACCAATGCCATCAGATATACAAGAAATCTTTATCATACATTGCTTTCCATTTATTCAGTTCAGCATTCCTTAAGCCTCTTTGAACCAATGCATTATTACACAGGCAAAAGAGGTTCACAAATGATAAAATATTTTAAAAAGTAATCATATTCAAAATGATAACCTCCCTGGGAGATTGCACCAGTAATATTGTACCTGAGATAAAGAATGAAATTATCCATAGGCCCATATGCCCTCTCTTCTATAGCAATCCCACTTCTAGCATGGAAAATAGATAGATACACTGAGAAATCCTATATTCTAATAATAAAAGTTTGTTGGAATGAGGGTTGCCCCAATGTACTTTCTATACTGTATTCACTATTTTCAACAAAAATATCAATTCTGAAATGATTTATTATGAAGTCTCTTTCCTCCTCCTATTTTTCACTCTTAACAGTTAAGTCAATGCCTACCTTTAATCAAATCATATAACCGGACAAAAGGATAAAATATCTTACTTCACGTTCTTCCTCCTGTTCTTTCTTAATCTGTTCCAAACGAAACTGCTCTGCAATTTCTCTTTCTTGTGCTTCCCTCTACAGAACAAAAATAAAGAAATCATTTCAGATGGTGATTAAGGTGCTCTCCCATTGGTGTTATGGTCCCAAGGCAAGTAGGGCTTTATAGGTTAGAACCAGCACCCTCAGCAGCATACAAGCAGTCAATGCAAATGGAACAGAATAGGTGCTATGTATTTGGTTCCTGTTATTAATCCGGATGCCACATTTTGCACAAGATGTAGCTTTAGAATAGTCTTCAAGGGCAGCCCTATGTAAAGTGTGTTGCAGTAATCTACGTTGGAGATTAAAAGAACATAAACTACCGATAGGAGGCTATCTCTGGATAGGGGTACAGCTGAACTGCAGCTGAAGCTAATGGAAGGCACTCCAAACCACCAAAACCACTTAGGCGTCAAGTGCCAAAGACAGCTCAAGGGGCAAACTGCACCCTCCCTGGAATCCTTTTGGGAGCCACACTCTTTCCCTACTGTTGCCAGATGTTGCTCTCTGGCCACAGAAACCCCAGCTATTCTGCTAGAAAATAGGAAACCGGGGAAGCATACACCTTACTTTCCAGAAGAAACAGGCTCTCATTAGCTCACCAAGCAGCTTCTGCTGAAATGCTGGACAAGCCACAAGTTTAGCAAGCAGTGCTTGATTCTGATGGAAAACAAGGCATGTGCTTCCTGGGTACCCCATTTCCCAAAAGAATGCCAGGATTCCTGTGGCAATCCAGTGGGAACAAGGGAAGGCTGTATCCCCCAAAGAGTCACACCTTGTCTCCCAGAAGAAACTGTTTCTGTGGCAGAGCAACAACTTCTGGTGGCAAGGGGAACATTTTAATGCCAAATGTAGTGGGAGGGGGACCCATGGATCACATAAATGGTCATGCTGGGCTCACTCTTGATTTGGCAGCTGCTCTGGAGTATAATGACAGGAAAGCAATTGTTACTTAATGTTGTGTTCTTATTGCCAGGAAAGGTGAGAGGTATTTGCGGGATTTTGTGCTCAGATTCAGATACCCAAATAACGTGACTGATCTTTGGTACTGTGCACTTTGACCTGCTTCCCTGCTTCAGTAGCAACATATCTTGAGCTGGCCCTGATAAGGATGACTCCACCATTAGGCAGAATTAAGTGGCTTCAGAATTCTGATTTTGGGTATTATGAGAGGGAAATTGTAAGTTTGTTATTCTTGTATTTTTTTAGTTGGGGGGGGAGGGTCTCCCAACTTCTGTGGGGCCATTTGTCATGAGTAGTATTTCTGGAAACTTGGGGGCGGTTCAGGAACATTCTCCTATTTTGTGGGGTGGCTTACCATGATAGATAAAAGACAGCAGAAGTTTGCAGCTTTGTTTTACTGGGAAAAAACCCTTTGTCACCACTTCAAGTGGCACCCCAGCTGCAATAAGCAATAGCAGGCTGGCAAACTTTCTAATTGAGAATGGTCCAATGGGAATTACTGTAGATAGGTTAACATCATTTCCAGGATCATTCTTAAGAACACTGGGAAATGCAGTTTTCCTGCTGGAAAATTACAATCCTCAGAGTGTCAGGCATTGTGTAGAAGACCATCACCTCTTCCACCAAAGTAGCATTCAACCAAGTAAGTGGGTGGTGGAAGAGAGGCAGTTAGCAGTTCTCTGAAAAGGACTGGGAAATGGGCTGGCTTTTATTATACTTCTCTGGTAGCAAAATGAGGTCTGAATGGGCTTCAGAATTGGCTTTTCCAAACCAAATTTTCCAAGTCCAATTATTAATCTGAAATGTAATATATTTTACATTTTCTAGTACAGCATACTACAGACCTTTGCTCTGTCAGCTTCAAGAGAAATTCGGTAAGCTTCATCCTGTTCTCTCTTCACATTCTCTCGGGCCTCACGTTCATCCTGAGAAGAGGGAAAAAGAAAGCCAAGAATCAGTATTATGTAATTTTATACCTGATAGTAATAGTATTTGGATAAATTTCCTGTATGATTGCACTACAGGGTGAAGAAATGGAAGAATATAATTTAACCAACCCACTCAAATGATTGTCTAGTTTTGCCTTCAATGTCTCTAGTGTGGGAGAGCCCATGGCTGTTCTTGACAACTGGCTACACTGTTGTATTGCTGTGACAGTTAGGATATTTTTCCTGGTGTCTAGCCTGAATCTGGTATAGTTTAATTTTGTTGTTCCATGTCCTACATTCAGGGATGAGTGAGAAGAGATCTTTTCCTTCCTCTTTATAACAGCCTTTGAGGTACTTGAAGAGTGCTATCATATCTTCTTGTAGTCTTCTCTTCTCAAGGCTGAACATGCCCAGCTGTCCCAGTCTCTCATCATAAGGCTTAGTTTCCAGAGCCTGGATCATCTTTGTTGCCTTCCTCTGGACCCTTCTAGTTTTTCTGCATCTTTAAGAATTTGGTTGTCCAGAACTGGACACAGTATTCTAGGTGAGGTTTGCCTAGTGCAGAGTAAAGGGGAACTAGTACCTCTCTCGAGTACTAGCTCCCAAGCTACCATTGGCCACGCTGGCAGTGGTCCTGGGAACTGAAGTTCCAAACATTTCTGTCCAACTCTGAGTTGCTTCATATGCAGTGTAATGATCTATTCATTATGCAGAAGTGCCACTGAATTCAGTGGGCCTTATGACCAAGTAACTTGAGTTTATTAAGAAAGTCCCACTCCTTGGCACTGGTGCCCAATTAACACATACAAAATCACATGTATCAAAACGAAGTCAATGTTTTAAATGACCAACTTACAGAAGGTCACTGTAAGGCTAAATGGCACCCTCCCATTTATAATACATTTTCCCGTAAGCAAAGCCCAGAGATCAGAGCTGGCTTTGTATTTGAAGGAATACATTACCAAACCTCTGGGAACCTCTGCTCTGAAAATCCCAGTATTTAAGTTTGGCTCCTTTTTAAAAAACATCTGAAAAACTGTTTTCAAATTGCAAACTTCTTTTATCAATGTAAACCAACAAAAAATGACCTGCAAACATCAGTAATAGAAACCCAGAAAGAAATACTGGGGTATGTTCCTGTATCAATCTGTTCATTTCTGCTCTTCTAGACTTTTTTGAATTATCTAAAGGACAATCTGTCTTGTCTGTCTAGGTGCTAAGAAGTGCATAGGACAATACTGCCACTTGTGGACGGGCCTTCTCTTGTGTCATTCCAAGATTGTGGAATGTACTCAGCTCAGTACTATGAATTCTTCCCAGTTTCTATAATTTTAGAAAAGGTGGCAAAACACATATGTGAAACCTGGAAAACTTGCCAGAAAAGAAAACATTAACATCTTTTACTATTTATAACGTGGTATCTTAAAATCTACATGGGTTTCAAAGTTTACACAAATCTTAAGCACACCCAGATTCCCTCTCAGGAGCAATCATCTGAAAAAAGGAAAACAAGAGACCAGAAACTATTCTGCTAGTCTGCCACATCCAAGGAGTGATACCAAGTTACCCAATAATGTATAGTTACTGTAAAATACTTTGTCACTCGATGGAATCTACAGATTGAAAAGCTGTGTGTGTGCGCACGTGCGTGTGTAAGCAACATTTCTTGTAGGAAATTACATTATCATCAAAACTGGCACTAGAAAAAGTTCCAGAGAAAATCAGGTAAGTCTGAAATTGTCAAACTTAGGAAAGAAAAGAAGAAGCAGACTAATCAACTATTCAGCATCTTTAATACCTTAGCTTTTAATATACATTGAAGAAATGTGATCTCGGTGCGGACAACTATTAATACACCTGAAATACATTTCTAATCTTCACTTTCATGACAGCATGGGGAATGAAGAATCTGGGTTGAAGATATTGAGCATGAACAGCAGAAATCTACCTCAACCAGATTTTCAAGGTGGTGACAGGTACAGCACTGTATTTTCTCCAACAGTTTGAGGCATTTCCCCTGGGTTTATTTCTTCCTCTTGGCATTATTCTTTCAAATGGACAATGAAAGGGATGTCAGGAATGTAAAGACGTATTATGCATGATTGCCTTGCTATGGCACAAAGATGTGAAATGCTGCAGCTAAACCTCTATTTCAAAGTGAACAGTTTCTTATGCAGACACACCTTCTAATCAAGTTCACAGACAATGGAAAGTTGTTTATCCAAGTAAGAGAGTTAACTACGTAAAATATTTGCATAGTTTTTTAATACTATGTTTTAATTAAGATTAATGTTGCATTGCAGAGCAAGCAATTTGCAGTACAGGACTTCATCAGTGTAAGAAAAGATTACTGAGAAAATTGTGATACCCTTTCATAGTTTCAAAAATAAATATTTGCACACTGCCAGAAATAGCCCTGCTCCCAAGGTTTCTTGAGGCCTTGGAGCATCAATAAAGGACATATCCCTTTTGCAGTACTTCTATCTGCAGCTGTATTTAAACAGCAGTAGCAAGGTAGAACTACCTCTATTAAGAAAACCATGTACCTGCCCTCCTCCCTTTCCTTCGTATTGTTTGCATCAGTCACGTTCAACCTTCTCTTGCTGAATGGCTACTATTCATCCATCAGAGATCCTCTTTTGGCTTCATTTTATTCATGCATTTATTTTCAAACTTTATAGCCTGCCCTTTAAGAAGTCCCAGGAAGGCTCACAAAGCAGTATTGCATCCGTGGGGCTGAAAAGCAGTCTCTCCTCACAGCATGATGCATGAGCAAATCTGTCTGTCATTAGTGCTGTTGCCACATACTTGCGCTGCAGTGTTGCTTTTGCATGAACATGTTTCATGGCTTCCATGAACCAACATGAAGCAGCCACTTAGGCAGCAGATTGCAGAGGAGCAGCTGTTCCCTGGATTCCAAAATGGCCACTTTGATTTCTGCTTCAGGTATAATAATTTGTCTATCATAGTGGAGGACTTCAGGGCTGAAATTCAGCTGATGAAACATTATTCAGTGATGTTTTTAGCAAACAGTATAAAAATTCTGTCTGAGTAGGCAGTCTCCTGGACTGTGTTGTTTTGATTACTAATTCCCAAGAAATAGCTTTTATTTTGCTTCTGGAGATTGAAAAAGACATAAACCAGTTTATATAAACTGTTTACTCCTTCCAAGTAGGTGTGCTCATCCCTTCAGTCCATCAGGACAGGCTCTCTCATGTGTCCAGCCTCTATCCAAGTTGTACCTGATTGGAAAGCAGAAGTCTTTTTCCATGGTTGGGCCTAGGTGCAGGAAAGCCCTGCCCAGGATATCCATGTGGTCACCTCCCTCATGACATTCTATCATTATCTGAAGACCTTTTTGTTCCAGCAGGTTTCTAGCCTGTCAAATATACAGTTCTGAATGATACACTGTTACTGGTTATTACATTTTTACATGAGTTCTCCCCATTTTAATTTCTATTTTAGCTATTGTTTTTGGAAAGTTGTAATCTCCCTTGAGAAATTAGAAATCCTGTACATAAATTTACTTGGAATTCAAAAGTCAAGATGAATGTGATTAGTATTAAAGTCAGTACCAAAACCTGTTGCGGGGAAGGAACGTGAATATTTAAGGAGAGAGATGAGACTGCAAGTAAGTGGTACTAATCTGGCAGAAGAGATTTGAAACAGTATTTATTATTTCCTTACAACAAACTGAAAGTGCCTTAGAAAATTCTCCTTCTCTTGCTCTCAATCTTATTCCCACAAAAACAACCCTGTGAGTTAAGTTGGGCTGAGAGTCTGTAACTAGCCCAGTGTCACCCAATTAGCATAACCAAGCAGGGACTACAACCCAGATATAGCCTAATAATCAAAATCCTTATCTCATATTGTGAAGCCATTTGACTATGAACCTACCTTTCTAACAGAGAACACCTGCTTATTTGGACCTAAAAATCTGATATGGCCCTGCCTTCATAGTTCATTCTATGAGCTGGTTAGAGAAGTCTCTTCACAAGAGCAGATGTTTTTGTTTTTATTGCAATATGGAGTTTACTTTCAAAGGCATTGGATACTGCCTTTCCCTTGCTTGATTTTTAAAGGTAAGCAAAGCCCTTAAAAAAATCAATTGGCTGTTGCGAATTTATTTCTGTTACTCTTGCTTTATGCTGGATTTGCTGTCCATGATCCATGATTTCTTCTTTTAATTTTGTAAGGTTATTTGATATATCTATGAAAGCAGCACATAGTTTAAATATAAAGTTCTCATATTGTGCAAGATTTTCATTCATAAGAAATAAGACACTGCCATATATACATACATAGAGTCTCATAAAATGTGCTGATTTATAAGTGTAGATGTAAATTAAGATGTGATAAAGCAAATTTAATTAGAGATGCAGTACATCCAAGGTGGGAAGACACTTACCAGGTGATCTGCATTTCTGATCAACTTGAGGTCCAAGTGATAAGTATGAATGGACAACTTAAAGCCCCTTGCTTTTCCTTTTTTAAAAGTATTTTTATTTGTTAAATTTACAATATATGAAAATACAGTCACATAATTAATATTGACTATAAAACAGTTAAAATAATCAGTTATTAAATTATCTGTTCCTGTGCTAATAAAGGCTCCTAGTTCAGAAATCCAGGTGACTGCCTTCAAAACAGAGGACTGCCCTCTGTAAACTAATACACATGGCCAACTATTGCTGTCCCATAGTTACTTCCAAAGTTGAGCCAGTTCTTGTAAATAGTCTGCATTCATATATATAATTTTATTTTTTTCCAAGTAAAACTCTTCCTTTTTAGGATTCTTCCAAGGATTATGCTTTAGATTTAAAATATAGTATCCTTTAAAAAGGGAAGCACCATTTAAAGTTCTCCTCCAAGTAATTAATTGCAGGTTTTTCAAGATATACTTGCTAACCACTTCACAGGTCACTGGAAACCAAATGACATTTCACTTCTTTGACAGCCTTCCAGGGATATTGCTCACTTCAAGTTGTTGGCAAAAT